TCCAGAGGTCTCTTCCCACCCCACCTGCTGGGATTCTGTGAGTCTAAGGAATACCTATTGCAAAGGCCCCTGTGCTGTTTGCAGGTGGAGGAGCTGGCGCTGCAGTCCATGATCAGGGCCAGGGAGGAGAACTCGGCAGTCTCTTCATCAGCCATCGCAGAGGAGACTGACAAAGTAAGAGAAGCCCTTGAGTGGTGGGAGGAGAAGCCGTGGTGCTCCCCTGTACTGGGATCTGTTGGCATGTGTGACAGGGAGAGGGGAGAGCTGGGTTGGTGTGAGTGGCTGTAGGTGTTGCTGGTGGCTTTTATTTAGAGTCCTTAACGTTGACCATGTTTACACAGCTCACACAAGCTCAGCTGTAAAATCTGTCTGGTTTGTTGCTGGTTTATGTTTCAAGGATTTTGCCTTTTCCCCTCTCTGGCAGCCACACGTTGTTCCTGGGCGGGCTGGGAGCTCCAGTTTGCAATTTATTAGACACTGTGCCTAGTACTCTCAGCTGTGAGAAGCTGCTTTAGCCAGCTGACCATAGGAGACAGAGGCACAGATACCATCTGAGCTTTTCACTGAATACATGATCAAGTTGGAGTAGTTGAAACTCTTCTATGGTGCTTGTCACTGTGCTGGGCTCTTGCAGCCACCAGTGCTGGTACTGGGGTTTCTAAAAGATGCTGTCACTGCAGTTGTAGTGCAGATTTGAGGAGCATTCAGGATCACTGCTAGTTTTGGTAACTGCTCTTCTGTTGTGACAGATTCTTGTTCAGATGGACAACGAGGCTGCTATCAACCAAACAGAATTGCACCTCAGTCTTCAAGAACATGAAGAGGAGGAGGAGGAAGAGGAGGAGGAATCAGATTCTTGAGAGAAACAAAAAATCAGAGATGGTTTCTGATACAGACTCAGGAATTCCTTCTTCATTCATAACAAAATTCATCAAGTGATGTTTGTTTTGTCCTGTATGAACTAGACGATACGTGAGACTCCTGGAGTGAACGCATGAATGTCACAAGCTTGGCACATCTTGACTTAGATGTTAAAAGAAGGAAAATTTGCTGCACAAATATGTAGCGTAATCCCTTCCACACTTAAAACCTAGTGTAGCTCACTGCATATTTAGATGTGGATGGGAGAAGTCACAAATCAAGTCAGACTAATTTAACACTTACACTAAAAGCAATAATTTATTTGTTCTTTTCTGATGCTGAAAAATAAAGCCAGGCCATGGTGGCTGGTTGCTGAACCAATGATTATATTGTAACCTCATTTGCCTAAACTGGGAATTTTAAGGTCGGCAGTGAGAAAAGATGTGTCCAGGGTTGTCTCCAGTTCTCAGTTACTTGGAAAACTTGCCTTGGCTCCCTGTAAATGTGACAGAGGTTGGTGTTCTTATGCTGGCGGGAGCAGGTGCTGCACCAGCAGCCTGGTTCTGAGCGAGGTGGACTCTGTACCTTCTGGTGCTCTTCTCAAGTACTGTCAGTCTGCCTGTAACAGTGGAACATTTTCTACTTCTTGCTCTTTCAGAGCAGCAGCCAGTTAGCCTTTTATTTCTCCACAGGCTGTACAGTAAGAATTGGTCTGTTACTTTTATTAAGCAACTAACAGGATTAAATCAGTGTTATTTTCTTTCTCCCTTGCAGTGACTTCATAAATCAGTGCAGGTCCACCTCCTGCTTTCATGTAAGCTTCATAGGAGGTAGGAATAGTTCAAGAACTTAACTTATGAAATGGAAAGTGGAGTCCCCTCTACAATTTCTTTAGCAGTACAGCAAGAAGCTAGTGCTGCTCCTACCACCAGAGAGCATGTGCTTTCCCCTTGGGGGGTGCAGCTGGTGACTTTATCAGACACTTGTTTTAAAGGACAGAACCCAAACTCTGTTGAGCTTATTTAAAACCAATAAAAGTCATGTTCTAACTCAGCCACTTTGTCATCTGCTTTACCAGGAAGCAACCAGGGCTGTTTATTGCACTACTAGTATCTAAAGATGCTGCTCCTGCTACCTCTGCCATCACTCAGAGAAAACAATAAACACTTGTCCCGGGTTTGCTTTTAAGAGCAGGAAAGGAGCTTGTCACAGAGTGCCAGGTCCTGGGTGTGGTCAGAACACAATTCAACCTCCAATGGTTTCCTGCTGCTGTTGGAGAAGAGATTGTTTATTTCACTCTTATTTGGTTTATAGTGATAGAAACTGAGTGCTGGAATGTAAACTACAAGTTCATCCTGTACTAAAAACTAACTGGTTTTTGAGAATCCTGGATGTCTCAATGAAGGGGCTTAGAACATGAGTGCAGGAGATTCAGCAAAGCTGTCCCAAGACTTAAAAAAAAATAACCTAAAACCTCTTGAGCTGAAAATGTAATGGCTTAGAGTGGCACAGAATTCTGTGAAAGTGGGCCTGTGAAGAGCACAGTAGCAGCCACTCTTCTTTGCATGTTTCAGCTCCAAAGGTTAATTTTAACTGCTGAAAAATGTTCTGTCCAGAGCAGTTTTCAGGGATATACTTCCTGTTGCCTTTTAGTGATGTCCTGTGCTTGGTTTATGGATAAAAACAGACCAGTTTTATTACGTGTTGCAATAAAGTACTGTTCATGGTGTCCTGCTACACACAACTGTGCTTGCTCCTCCCCAGTGTTGCTGTCTGGGGAGCAAACAAGTAAAGGGGGAGTTACATCTCTCAAAACTTGCTGTTCACAGACAGCATGTGTACAAGTGTGGTTTCTCCATGTTAGTGTAATTCACAGCTAAAGCTCAGGATATATTGTAATTTAAATGCTGCACAACATTGTAGTAGTGCCAGCAGGCACACGGAAGCAAGGACAGCTGAAGGAAGCCTCCAAGGTGTCAATGAGTCATTTCCTACTGCCAGTGGGTTGAAAGCAGTTCTGTCCCTCTCTGTGATACTGGATACTGCCTGCCAAGTGGAAGTTCATGTCCAGGATGATTTGCATTCCTTTTGGGAAGGAACTTGAGCCATTTACCAGTCTGAAACATTTGCTGGAGGAGCTGAGCTTTTTATGAGCTGTTGAGAGGAGGACTTTTGCACCCACCTCTCCCTGCTCTGTAGTACTATTTGCTGGCCCAGTCGCTGAACTTCTGAAGAAAAATAACCTGAAGAAGTGAGGGTGGATCAATCACTCTTGGTTGCTGCAGATGCAGGCAAGCAGCTATTCACAGGCTGTGCCACAAGGGTGCCTCAAACGCCTGTCACACCCCACCCAGGGGGTTAGGAGCACCAAGCACCATACACAGACAAAACCTCCAAGGTTTCCACAGAAACCTGGTAACCAAGGTGTTAACACTCTACAAACGACTCCAACCCCCTTTCACACACTCATTTCACATTTTAGCTCTCGCAGCGGAGTGCTGCACAGCTGTGCAAAAATACATAGAAAAGCATGTGCAAAGTAGCAAGGACTTTGGATTAAGGCTTTGGTCAAGCTCCTGAGTTTTAGAAAAAGCTTCAAGAAGTTACTTGATAATATATTTATTAAGAGAATCCATTGCTAAACATCTGAGAGAATAAAACAATAGAGGATCTTCATACACTTTAGACACTAAACACAGTCATCATGACTCTTCAGGTTAAAAGAAAGCAAACTGCCTGCATCTTTGTCTTGATTCTGTAGGACGCTCCCAAGTACTTTTAAAAATCAATTAGAAAGACAAAACATCACTAAATCCAAGAATGATGATATGTTTTAAAAATAAATATAGAAATATGAACAAGTCTATAACCAGAATATTGTCCTGTACATTCCAACAAATGCAGAGCTCTTGCCTTCTTTACCTGGAAGGAGAAACCTCTAAGTGACAGTGACACGGGAGCCACCAGGCCTAACTCTCAGAGGCAGTTTGGCAGCAGCAGAAGCACGCTCGACAGACACAGCTCCGGAGCACCCCTAACCCTTCCCTTCCTGCCTGGGAGCTTGGGTAAGCATGATTGGAGTACCAACGACTTACAAAGAATCTTGATAAAGTTCAAACAAGCTGGGGCTCGACAACCCCAGTGATATTTTCATTAAGAAAGAATATCCATAATCACTTAAAATCAGCAAGCACTGTAGCTTAAACATCGTACGTTTTGGTCAGTAAACGAACGTGATCCAATACAATACCAATTATTTTATGACAAAATTTAAAACCATTTGGCACATGCTAGAAAGACATTCTTCCTTAAGAGGTGAAATACATGTTTGAACAGGTACAAGCTGAGGAAAGAGGACCAAAATAGCATTGTTGTTAACAGATGTACAGTACAGGATTCGCTCTTCCACGTTCAGACTCCAGCAGCATGCGTGGGTGTGCTCGGTTGGTTAAGGCCTATGGTTGAACAGAGCCACCCCGCAAAATCCACCTCCTCCGCTTCAGACCTCTTAATGAAAGCATGAATCTGAGCAGAGGAGAAGAGAATTATTATTCCAGCACTCGTCTGTTAAATAGCAATTGTGAAGAACATGAAACACAATAAAACCGGTTTACTTCCAGTATTCAGGCTGGCTAGAAAATCCAGGCAACCAGATGAAGTGACCAGGAGAGGATTTTCTGCAGGATTATGGAAATAACCAGCACGTGGCACGTACACAGGGCAGAGTATTCCAGGGGAGTGCTGCCTACGCAGTGCCTGTCACAGAACACTCACGCCCCAGTACGCGATAAGGATGTGACTCATCCACTCGAGATAATGCTCTGGGAAATGTCTGCCTGGGCACAGAAAGCCTTTTTGTAATACAAGGAGCCCGAGCAGGATCAGGGCAGGGAAAACCTGATTTTCTGCAGTAGAACTGAAGTCCTAGCATCACACTCACAGCCATGAAAAGATCCACTGACACCGATAACGTCATTTCACGCAGAAAAAAGCTGCAAGATTTGTTTGTGCTTAGTACTTCTACAGATTTTGCAAGACAAAGCTGATAAAAAAGAGGCAAATTTTGTGTTTCACAACAGGTGATAAAAATGTATTTAACTAGTCCATAAGGTACGTGGATTTTTGTCCTTTCATCCTCCTACGAGTAATAACCTATATACTTTACTATTGACTAATAGAGAAGAAAGAATTCTTTTGCTAATTAATTTAATAGCATTAGGTCATACACTCACTGCAATTATCAAATGGCAGACTCTAAAACCCACCAGTTTTGATCTCCTTGGACAGTCCCTGCTTTAGGAGGGTGTGAAGCCTGCAGCCCCTTGATCTCTGGCTCAGAAAAGCAGCCCCTCCTCAAACTGCCTGAGCTGCTTGTGTCAGGGGCCACTGACTGTACCCTAAGCCATATGCTCTGACCCTGATCCCAGGAATCCAACCTGCATGGAACTATGCTCTTGGTTCAAGTCAAGAACTTTCACTTACCATCAGCTGCTTCAAATCGGCTCTCTCGGCAGGATTCTTAATTAGACTAGGAAAAACAGTGTTGCACAAGTTACACACTATTATCTTTTAAAATAAGATAGTAAATCAAGTTATGTCCTTTTGGTGTACTGCTTTGGTCTGAAGGAGATGCCACTCTAGATAGCAGCATGAGGTGGAGGAGTGCCTCTCAAACCCAGACCAGGTCTATGAGCCATCCCCATCTGGAGGTCTCCCAGGTGTAGTTCCAGGTATGAGATCCTGAGTTGCCTGACACCGTTTAGTGGGGGCAGGAGTGAGTGTCTATAACCCAACTGGAGAGATCAAATTCCCATTTAAACAAAAACTCAGCGTGAGCTGCTTTATCCCTCAAGTCTCTTTTACCCAAAGTCAGCTGTTTACCCAAAACCAGCTGTTGCACATATGATCAGTCTGTAAGTAGTAGGGGGTCTTCAATGCTGGGAAAGCACTAATCCAAGATCACACAGCAGCAGAAATCTTATCTTAGAGGGAAACATCT